AATCGCCGACATCATCAGGGTCACGGCTGCGCCGTGACACCTGATGATATCTCTGATTTCGCGGTAAATAACTAATAACATATTCCATAAAATATAGTATCGTTTCGATTATTCATATCAATATAATCATTTAAACAAAATACCTTGTTTTGCATTATACATTTCCATAGTTAAATTTATGGATGAAATTTTCGAAATCAAAGAACTTAATGCTCTGCTTGTAATTTTGGATGAGGTTTTCCACCAAATTTCATTGATTTAATCAAAATCCATCTTTTATTTCAGCTTGTTAAAATTGTTCATCTCTAATACTCCATCTACTAATTTCATTAAAAAATTTTTGTAATTAAAGGTTTTTTGAAGGATCAGGGTTATATTAACTCTCCATGTCACCTTTTTTTCTCTTATTCGACATATGACACAACATCCTTATGAATATCCGCGACAAAATCTTTAATGCAGGAAGGACACTGCGTGCGATTTTTTATGTCATTTGATATTCGCTTTTCTTCGCTTTGTTATTGCTTTGATATTATCTCGCAAAAATTATTAAAATCAGAAATACCAACTTTATAATCAAATGAAACTTCTTTTTTCTACGGGAATAAATTTTACATAACATTAATATGACAATATACTTACTCTATGTTGCATCAAGCTAGCTTAAGTGTTCTTAAACTGTCCCTTACCCTTTTGAGCTTGAGTGTTGTGTCGGTACCTTTGGCAATGTATTAGTGCTGCGTTTTAACACGTTTTAACACGTAATTTTATTTCAAAATAAAAATCCTTTGTTAACTTATTCAGAAATCACTAAAGTCTTTTGCTAGTAATAAATAATATAAGTATGCCTTAAAAAGAAATTACGAACCACATTTGAATACGTTTGAATAATAACCGACCAACTAGTTGGATAACGTTAGAATTAACAAACAAAGCCGAATTAATTTTGACCTTAGTAATCTATTTCAAAAAATTTGATTCGTTAAAATTCTAAGAATAAACGTAATGTTCTTCCTTTAATCTGGATCAGATTTTACTAAATGTTGATATTACATTTAATGTACAAGTTCCTACAAATAGAAAAAATTAAATGGAGTACATAGCAACGAGTTTTGCAAACTGAAATCTAGAAATAAATAAAGTATAAATTTTAAAATTTTATAAAATTTAATATAAGAATTACATGTATTTTGAACAGTCTATATTACAGTCCTGCGGCATCACGCATTGATTGGTCATATAGTTCCTCAAGAAAATAAAATCAGGTGAGAAATTATTTCATATGAAAATTAAAGTCAAAATGGCAAACATACCAATAGGTCATTATCTTTGATTTTAGGTTCTTGGATAATCACAAAAATCTAAGAAATACTTTCAAGAAAATATTAAATATGTCCAAAAGAACATGTCACTTCTAAAATTATATTGGATGATTTTATCGAATCGAGCGATCATCATGACTTCACGTGGTGTAGCAGAAAATTTTGATATGACTTGACGCTTCAAAATCATATATTTACCCTCATCCTTTTTTTTAAAAAAAAAAATTTAAAAATAATTTTTAGCTTTTTTTTTTAAAAAAACAAACAACCGTTCCTTTCATCATAATTAGCAGCGGCAGTAGTAACTATAATTATAAATAGCAGAAGCAGCAGCGGCAGAAGTATCACAACACACTAGCAAATAGCGGTAGTAATACCACATCATAATCATCACCACTAAAAAACAGCGGCAGTAGTATCTCCGCCAAATCTACCACCACTAGCAAGCAGCGGCAGAAGTACCAACACCATAATCACCATCCTAAGCAAGCAGCAGTATTACCACAACCATCATCAAGTTTATGTTAATATCATTTGCGGATCACGTTAAATAAACAGATTATCAATTAAAAATGAGAGAAGAGCTTGAGCTTCTAGATCTTCAGGAATGGAGGGTGGGAATGGTTATGGACTCAATATGAGCATCGTCGAACCCTAAGCCCACAACTGGATCCGAGTTGAATAAACAACTCATTGAAACTTATGGTATTGCCATTGAATACTGTATAAATGATGCATCAACGCTTTTATTAAAAGAGTTATTTGATACAAATATAATTGCAACTGCTCAAAAAAAATTCGATTATAATTTTCATCCAGTTGGTTTGGTGACGGGTGCTCAAGGGATTGGAAAAAGTCGATTACTAATGGAATGTGTTAATCATATTAGAAAAAGGTTTCCGGGAATTTTAAAAGATTTGGTCGACCTTATCATAGTATCTTACAATAATGGTAATACACCTTCTGATTTAGATTTGCAATTAGGGGTATAAGCTTACGACTTTTGCATTCGGTATTTGTGGATCTAAAAAGAGAAGGTCATTACTTTCAGGGAAGCAATTTCCATAATACGCAAAGGGTTAAATATTCGATCTATAGACAAATGGCTTTTGGATATATCGATTGATGAGTTTAATCAAGTTATAACTTCCTTTGGAAAAGATAAAGGCCGTAGATTTCTATCATATATAGTCAAATTCTTGGAAGTGTCATATGTATTCCACCTAATAACGCAACTGTGACATGTGAGATTTCACGAAAAATAGCAATTATTGTTGTAATCATTGTCCCTGCCATCAGGCTTATCACGATATTAATTATTTTATTACCATAAGCCAAATCGAACGTACTGAAATTCTTACATTGTTGAAATTCTCGGTAAAATGGAATATATGCAAAAGAATTTCGTATTTCTTTAGCGGATGTTGGAGGTAGGACATTTAATTGATGAAAAAAATTTTGATTGGTCTTTCACTCACATGATCGATTAAAAATCGAATTACTTAATTGATCACGATTGATTTATTATTACTATAAGCATCAAAATTACAATAAGCTAGTTTTTATTACAAATATCGTAATCATATTTAACAATTAAAAATCCTGTAGTTTATAAATATACAAAAGGATTATAATATTTACTATTTCATTTTATATAATAATTGATTAACCTTTGGCTTTAAACTGTTCTATTTTGATTCACATCATCACTAAAAAGCAGTTCAGACGTGGCTAGAACACCAAATATTTTCTAGTATTTTTAAATAAGTTGGAAATTCTGTTTATTATCAATCCACCATTGGAATGAATCCTTCGCAGGTAAAGCTTGAGTGTTTCTAAGATTATCCAAGAAGCACGGTTCGTCTTGCTGATTATGTAAAATATCAAAGAATTTTATTTATACAAAATATAACGATACTATATATAATCGACCATACATAGTAATTGTTGATCGATTAACCATTGGAAATTTAATTGATTATAATCAATTAAAGTTAGTCCAATCTTGATCGAATCCAATAATCTGTGATCGAAAAATTGATTGACTCAATCAATCATCGATCCTACTCGATTCGATTAAAAGCCTATATTAGACCTCAAATCGTCTCAAAACCAAGCTAACAAACTAAATAACTTAATAACTCGATTATCTCAAAGGCCTTTCCTAAGAGAAATTTATAATCACGATTCACTTGATACGATTCACTTGTGTAGTTAGTTATCATGATCAATCCTATGATGAAGACAAGAAGAAGGTTGAAGTGTAAATAGTAATTTTATTAATCTGTAGAGTTATAATTCTAGTCCCAAGACTTATTCAGAAAACTATCTGAGAAAAACTCTAAGACAACTCTATCGACTCAAGGTCAACTTATAGGTCTATTTATATAAAATTGCTCACTATTATTATACTACGCTTTTTGATGATACATATATAACATAAGTTATACCCTGTCGCACTAAGTGTGACTTGTGATATAGAATATCGTAATTTCCCTAATGATAAAAATAAATGTTTTTTCTCCGGGAT